CCAAGCAGATTCCCTACCTCAGAAACATCATACCCATGTTCTGTATGGGCCTGGCTAGGGCGTGGTGGCCTTTCCAACTGTCGGGACAAAACCACTCAAAAAATATGGTGTAAAAGTCAGATGAGGAACACAGTGGGTGGACCAGGAGTGGCACCTCGCATGCAGATCCTTGGAAATGAGAACTCCTGGGCCCACCCCAGAGCTAGCGAATCCAAATGGACAGGAGCAGGGCGAGTGGGCATGCCAAGAGCAATCTGTTCAAACAAAGTCTCCAGCCAGGTGTGGTGGCACATGCCTGTCATCCCAGCACTGAGAGGCAGAGACAGACAGAGGCAGAGGCAGAGGCAGAGGCAGAGGCAGAGGCAGAGGCAGAGGCAGAGGCAGAGGCAGAGGCAGAGGCAGAGGCAGAGGCAGGAGGATAGTTGAAGGCCAGCCTGAACTACGCAGGGAGACCTATTTCAAAAAACAACCACCAAAAAAAAACCCCTCTCGGGTGCTCTAGGTAAGAGATTTTACCTAAAACTCCATTTCCTTGAGAGGACCAGAGTGTGGAAAACATCCGACTAACCAAAATAAGCCCAGAGATGGATTCCCGAAGACACAAGGAAACTTAATATGTGTAAAAATGAATATTTCACATAAACAGGTAAGGCAAAGAAAACCCAGCCCAGGCCCAACCCAAGTCTTCCTGACTTACGAATACGTTCGGCACTGAGTCTCCGACATCCCAAAGGTGAGGAAGCCACTACACCAGCAAAAGAAGGCCACACCCAAGCAGGGCCCGCCCCTAGCCTCCTCCCTGGTGACCAGCATCAAGCACTGATGCGGTGGCGAGCTAGGGTTACAGGAGCTCAGATATGCATGAGTCCTGCAGGTCAAGCTCATTGACCTCGGCCTAATTTAGCCCCGTAAGGAACTAAGCTAAATCATCCTCATATCAGATTTACACAGAAGACTGACCTACGAATGGCTATGGAATGTTTCTTCTAACAGTAAAGACCACGAAGCAAAATCAAACAAAGGTTTGATGGAAGAGGAAAAGTCAAGAAACACAGACCCAACAGGAAAGGGGGGAGAAAAAAGAAAGGAACTGCAAACAATGTTGATATGCCATTTACAATCTAACTCAGACCCAGCCACTCCTATCTCACAAAAAATCTCCTTAATCACTATAATCCTTCATCTTCAGCTACTCCAAATCCTTCATCCACAAGCACTGCGTCATATCCTTTAATTCAGAATTATAAATAATTCCAGGATTATTTGTTTTCATAATCCTTGTGCATGCAATATACGGCAACGGCTTCCCTGGTCCGGGCAAAATAGCTTTCTTCCCCAGTGCACAGCTCCTGGCAAGACTTGAAGTTTTGTTGGCTTTCTGACCCGAACCTCTCAAAGCAGCGGGGCACCCTGCTAAGACCTCCTGGCCTGCCTGCAATTCTGTGTGAGACACTGAACCAACATTTGCCGCCAACCTGCAGTCTGCTCCCAACACGCGTGACACCCCTGCCCGGCAGCCTCCCTGGGACTCATTCTTTTCTTCTAACTCCCTCCAGAGTGGAGCTGATAGGCAGATCAATGAGCTAATATTTTTCAAATACCTCAGACTCCTCTGGATGAAAGGAAATATTAAAATTCAAGCGACCTGTGGCTGGCTACGGCACTGGAGGTGTTGTAGTGACTCCACTCGGGCTTCAAAGAGGGAAATCAAGTCTGGGAAGAAACTCCTTTGTGAAGATCCGCTGGCCTCTGCCCCCGTGCTAAAGGCAGGCGGTTATCCTAAGCTTCTTTAATTAACTGGATTTCAACATTAGAAATGCAAAGAGCCTTGCATAATACACTGGACCCTTGTTACAGTAAGGAGCAGACGAGCAAAAGACTCTTTCTCTGCTCTGTTTCCGTAAGACCTGCCCCTCCCCGAACTATCCCCTTCCCCGTGCGGTAGCTCTCCACGGAGTCCGCTGTGAGGGGCGGGCCACGTTGAAGCTACCAGCCAACACGTTTGCTTTGAGCCAATAGACTTTTAAAAAAGGCAAAGACAAAGCTTTATGTGTATGTTGGCACACATGTGAATTCAGACTGCTGAATAACAAACAAAGAATACATTCATGGCCACATACAACTCCCTGAACATATAAATAGCCAGCATTGACCCGGCTGTCTGAGGCTCTGTTCTACAGCATTACACTGAATTCTCCATAAATATCCCAGCAGATCAGGATAGAGAGACTGAAACTCAGACCGGCTGTTAGGTCTGCCCAGAGCCACACAGCTAAGAGGTGGCCGAGCCCATACTCAAACCCATACTGGAGAATCACCTTGCGCCCCCGGAGCACACCCCAGCAGGAAAAGTCAGACCTGCCTCGAATTCACAGCCCTCTCCACTCAGCTGGCAAACAGGGGGTAAATCTGATCAATCTAAATCCATGAGGGGAGATCAGAAAGCTTACTTTAAACATTAACATTCTCCCTACTCCAGCTCTCCTCTTTGTCCCACCCACTTCCTTAATTGGCTAATTAAGTATTCCATCTTATCTCTGTCCCCTGCTTTATCGCTAACAAGGTGCACAGCACTGTTCTCTGCTGCTCAGAACGAATTTGAAAAACATTCGGATTTGGTAACTAAGTAATGAAGTTCAAATGCAAGAATCTGATCCAATTCTTGCTTAAAAAGAACAAAAACAGGGAGCCCAGGGGAGCTAAAATGAGCAATCAGAGGGTTGATTATCTGATTCTGGAGCAAACCTAAACCATTAATAAGAAAGGCACCGAAAAAATACTCATAATTCTTAACTCTTGGCTCATCCGTTCAAGGCAAGATGGATCGTAAAAATTTTGCCTTTCTTCTGAATTCTGTTTAGTTCCCCTGTACTAAAGCCTCCTGATAGCTGAGTGAGGCGGCACATGCCTGCAAAGCCAGCACTCCGAGAGGCTGGGGCAGGAGTACTGCTGCAAGCTGGAGCCCAGCATGGGCTACAGAGTGAGTCCAAGACCAGCCTGAACTACATAGCAAGACCTGTCTCAAAAAAAGAAGAAATAAAAAAAAAAAAAAGAAAGAAAGAAAGTCTCCTGTTCTTTCTCTTACAGCTGCTGGGGCAACATTCAAACACTGCCCCAACTCAAATAACTAAAGAGTAAGTGATGATGACATTTGTAGGCCAGTAATGGGACCAGGAGCAAAACTTGGGGTGGAAAGGAAAGGGGTCCCCTCCTCCGCCCCTCTTCAGAGTTCTGTAAGGGGCCTCTTGCTTCACGAAGGTGCTCTCTGAGGGGCTTGGGTAAACACCCCAAGTTGTAGGAAACCAGTGTTCTCTTCCACCTATCCACTGGCCTGAGGTCATAAGAAGCTGGACGCCTGCCACCTCCGGCAAGACTCAGCCACTAGGGCTAATACTACAGCGCCACTTGAGCCCATGGAGTGGCCCCTGACAAAGGCAGCCCATGTATAAAACACTGCTGCCCTACGAGAACTTCTGCAGGCACCATGCGCCCAATCCCAGGCCATTGGCTGCAAGCTCTGCAAGATGACTTCAGTTCTCTAAAAGTTTCAGAGAAAGAAGCGGGAGTCTGAGTGGGCTGCTAGGGCACTGGTGCTTTTGGAAAGCAGAGCTTACCAGACACAGTTCCAGACGTGACCCAATTCCACACATCAAGTCTACCCATCCCTACGAGGCAAAAGGACATCACCCCATTCTGCTCGTGGGAGCTGTCACTTCTACCCCTGGATTGTACATCCCATCACCAAATGACAAAATAGTTTCTAACGCCAGGGGCCAAGGCACTGTGGTCGCAGGCTGCAGTCACACGGCTCTCTGAAGAGGAATCTGTGCCAATTTAATGAAACCAGGTAGGGATCAATTAATGCCAATTAAAGTGTGGACAGTCGCTCAGCGGCCGCTGGTGACACAGAGGTGTGTCCAAAGAGAATTTTGCTCTTCTGGAAGGTGACCCTGGTTCCCCTATGTGGGTGTCAGCTTCCAGTTCAATCTCTGCTTAGCTAGGAATAACTGTGCTCGCTTTTTGCCAGTTCCTCTACCTGCAGGGCAGTCCCGGGTGGGAACAGGTCAAGCTTTCCCCAGGCTTGAGTAGGCTGTCCCCCAGCACACGGTCCCTCCGGACCAACCTCCCAGCTGGGCTGCCACAAGCTGCCACAGCCTTGTACACCAAGACGTTGTTCTAGCAGAATGGAAGCACAATACTCAAGTTTGTTGAATGAATGAATGAACTAATCAGAAGTGAACAAAACGGTATGAAAGCACAGCCGAGTCTAAGGACTCCTACCTCCACCGCGCGCCAGCAGCAGCCTGGACAGACCGAAGCCAAAACCCTGCAATCTTCTTAAATTGTAGGTGCGAAGGGGGGAGCGTGGGGGGTGACAGGAACCTAAGGACTCGTGAGGCCAGGGGAGGTGGGGACAGCGCTACCCCGGCATTCTCTCCCAAAGGGAAGAAATCCCACTCACAAGTATTCCAAACCTAGACGGGGGTCACGTGGGAAGGGGCCGTTTGTACGCAATAGTCTGAAAGTTTGAGGTGGAGATCTGGTCTCAAATGCCAACACGTGTCGCCCCCTCCCCCCCACACACACAACTCCCCGGACCACCCAAGGGGAAGTCAAGGCACCCTGGACACCACAGGCAAGGCCAGGGCCTAGTGGGAGGGTATGACGACGCCTCTCACCCCAAATCCTGCGCCCACGGTGGGAGCTGCCGCCCCGCCGGCATAAACGACAGTAGCGTCGTCAGCCCTGCACCCTCCTGTCCCCGCGGTCTGAGCGTCTCGACTGCCCTACCCGGGCCCTCTCAGCACCCAAGACGCAGGAGGAGCCGGGGAAGAGGAGGCGCCCCAGACAGCGCGCACCTCCAGCAGCCCGCGGTGCGCCCCAGGGCGCGCGGTTCCCACCCGAAACCCACGCGCGGCAGGGTCCCCGCACCCCGAGGGCTCTCCAGGCGCCAGGCGCATCGGCGTCGCCATGCTCCAGGTCCCGCCCGGCCGCCTCACCTGCTTACACGGCCTGGGCGGCGGCGGCGGAGCCCCGATCCGCACGGAGCCGACTCCGGGGCTGGGGACCCGGGCTCAAGGCTGCCCGCCCGGGACGAAGCGGCGGCGGCGGCGGCGGCAGTCGGGACGCAGGGGCGCGGCGGCGCCGCCCGCCTGGGGGATCAGGGCGAGGATCCGGGCGGGACCCGGACCGCCGCTCCCGGGAACCTGAGGCGGCTGGCGGCGAAGTTGAGCAGAACTTTGCAGGGCCGGAGCGCCAGGGCGGCAGGAAGCGCGGGCGGCCGCCGCGCGGGGAGGAA